CAGGTGGGCGCTAGGCGGTCTGGGCGGGCGGTCTAGGCGGACGCTAGCGCCTAGAAAAAAAAAAACACCATTTGGAATCTCCAAGGTCAGGGACGAGATGACGATGGTGCTATAAGCGAGAGACAAAGAGATGAGGATTGAGGAAGAGGAGAGGTCACGGGTCTGAGCGAGAGAGAGGGGCTGGAAGACGGCTCGTGTTAGAGTTAGGGTTTGAGAAGGAAAATTGCATTTAAATGTTGATGAAAAAAACAAAAAGAAGAGATGGGCCCCCGATTACTCCTCTAGGCATTAGACCCCTGCTTGCAGCCCGCCTACCACCTTGTTTCGAACATTGGGATGCTGTACCAGAGGCAAATTCAGATGAAAATAACAGAGGCAAATTCTTCTAAACTAATAATCTCAATGTTATATTTTTGAAAGATGAATTGTCTTAAATCTGATGTGATGGACATCTAATTGGGTAGTAGTTGAGCAAATAAACTTACTATTTTCTAGTTTCTTCTCTCTGGAATATCTGTTTTCAATCGAGACTTTTGGTCATTGTTTCTTCTCTCTGATAAACAATAGCATATTGTTACATACATCACAATGCTATGACTTTTGGTCATTTTTTGTCAAGTGTTCTTCCTTCTCACACAAATTGAAGGTTTTACTTTTTGTACAGGAACGAACCCCATTTCTCTCTTGGAGTTGGGACAGTAAATGAAGATTTTCCCAAACGTAGATACTAGACTGGAGATTTCTTGATTGGATACTTTGTCTTTGTATTACATTGTTATTCTTAGTGTAATATATCATATTATTCTTGTTAGAGATATTGCAAGAGATCCACTTAAACTCAAAGCTGTCAATCACCGGTTGCAAAACATGCCCACAGTATAGCCATTCATTTTTTTTTATATCCTAAGCCTAATGTTTTAGCCTTTATTGGGTCAAAAGTCTCAAAGATTTAAGGGTTGGTAGACCAAAAGCAAAAACTGAAAATACACTCACAAAGTGCCACCTTTCAAGGAAAATGGTTGCATCTCCAATTTTCAGCATGCTGTTCTTGTCCATATTTCTCTTCCAAAAGTTGATTTCATTTCATTCCACTGCTGCAACTCACATTTTAACTCCATCCAAACATATCTTGCAAAATGAAACTTTAACCTCTCTACCAACCAAAATTTTGAATTGGGCTTCTTTAGTCCTGGTAATTCAGGCAACAATACATTGGGATATGGTATAAGAATAACTCCGTACATCCAATGGTCGAATCGTATGGGTGGCCAACAGAGAGAGGCCACTTGCCGTTAGAAATGATGCCTGTCAAATAGAACAACAATGCTCAACAGAGTCGATAGGTTATGTTAGCTAATAATTGCAAGGCCTGTTCTGCAGTTCTGATATGATGCCCTTAAATTTTACTTGTTACTGGAAAATGAAGCCAAACTAAAGGAGCTACGTGCCTAAGTCATGTTTTGTGTGCAGAGTATAAAAAAGCAGGCTTCCTATCCATAAATCCGAAACCGAAAGTGTGCAGACAAATAAGCTAGTTGCTGATTAGGTAAATACCTATCTAATTGAATTTATGCTATTAATTACAAGTACAATCCACTTACATAGAAATGCTTTTATAGTACGAAGAGAAATCAGATGCAATTATAAGATTTGGAAACTATAAAGAACTACCTTTCAAGGCCTGTAGATGGTTGGCTTGGTCCTTACAAAAATCTGCACCACTCCAGAAGGCTGGTCAGAACAGAACGATAACCAAAAGCATTTGGTGTTATAGTTTAGATGGAAAATACAGCACATTAAAAATCAGGCAGCTTTATGTGTCTGGATGAAAGGGTGACAAAGCAGATGGATACCTAACCTAACTACTTTTTTCTTAGAGAAAAAAAGAACCTAACCTCCAAATCTGGCGAAGGGTCGTATGTTTGTTCCTCTCTTGTGTTGAAAATGGTAATGCCCGTGATCCTCTGAACTCCAAGTTGAGCAGCAATGAGTTTCTGCATTAGCAAAGAGCCAAGGAATTACTCGCACACATGAAAATACCAGAGGCAAATTCTTCTAAACTAATAATCTCAATGTTATATTTTTGAAAGATGAATGGTCTTAAATCTGATGTGATGGAACATCTAATTAGGTAGTAGCTAAGCAAATAAACTTACTAGTTTTTAGTTTCTTCTCTCTAGAATATCAGTTTTTATAAAGTGCAGATAGAAACTAAAGTGTGAGTTTAGGCAAAAAGGTCCAAACTCATTTTGCAATTGGAGATGATCACTTCAACAAAAATGTTTAAACTGAGTCCAAAATATGCTGTTGTAATTATATTCTCCTCAACCCTCGGCAAAACCTGTGCATGGATTTTAAAGTCGTAAATCAATTAGATAAGCAAGTGAGATGCTAACATTATGAATTTAATTAGAAATGAGTTCAAATGCGTAATTCATGGTTTCTAACTTTTTATGTCATCAATTAAACTTATATAATCCATCTGAGCTGATCTCAAAGTTCACAGAGCTTACGAGGTCTGTTAGAAGAAGAAGAACATTGAGGCTAGTTAAAGCAATAGAGAACTGAAACAAAACCACCCAAATCAATAAGAAATGCTTACTTGACTTGAGATTAGATTTTTTTCATTACATTTATTCTGCGACTAGTTCTATGAACTTTTATTCTGTGACTGGTTCTATGAACTAAAGACTGACAAATAAAGGAGGTTAAAATATGGGTAAATTTAAAATATAGACAATCAAGATGCAGTAATAAGAGATATACAAACAAAACTTTCAGAAGAAGTAAAATATTTTTGTGAGGATACTTACGCATGCAACAGATTAGGAGGACAGAGGGATTGGATTGGATTGGAAGGATATATGCTAGAGTCACAAACAAGACTCACAAATTTCGGAAGTATTAGCACAAACTTGGAAATAAAAGGAAACGTAAAACAAAGGAAAACCCACATTAATTAACTTCCTTTATTTGAGACTCAAAATCACCAGAATATTCCTGCTCTAATTCAGAAAACCGAAATCCCAAACGAAATCGGAAAATCAAAACTAGAAATTAATGTCCTGCTTATTAAAGAATATGCGTGCATTGGGGTTAATGATAATTTATTATTTAATCAAGACTGAAATGGAAAAAATAATATTGCTTATTAAAGATGCAGTAATAAGAGATATACAAACAAAACATTCAGAAGAAATAAAATATTTGGAAAAAATTGGAAAACAAAAACCGAGTATAGCCGTGCCGCTATACTATTTCTTTAAAAAAATTAGAAAAACCGAGTATAGCTGAGCGTATGCTATTTAAGTTTATTATATTTTTAAAAAATTGAAAACAACCGAGTAAAGCAGCGCGGTTATACTATTCCTTTTATAAAAAAGGGGGACATCCCAATATCGTCGTGCGGCTATACTATTTCTTTAAAAAAAATTGGAAAATAACCGAGTATAGAAAAATTTGTAAACGCCAACTATAGCCGTCTGGCTATACGATTTTTTTAGAAAAATTAGAAAAAACCGAGTATAGCCGCGCGGTTATACTATTCTTTTTCAAAAATGAAAAATACATACGTACATGTTCAATACGAGTATTGTATGTTCGCTTTTTAAAAAACGTAAATTTTACCAAGTCTTTAAGACGTGAACAAAACACGGATGTATTATTGAAATATGGGTACGTTAATGTATAATACAATACTAAACGTGAAATTGCTAAATTCTTTATATGGGTAATAACTTTGGAAAAGTAAAAAATCAAAATGGGACAATAGAGACTTGGGTAATGGCCTAAGAGTAATGGATAATGCTCTAAACTACACTTATCGATAAACGAAAATCGGAAAAACAAAATAAAAGCAAAGGAGGATCCCAACATATATACTATTTTCAATTTTTTTTTTTTCAAAAAAAGAGTTGCGTAAAGCTGCTCGGCTTTACTATTTTTAAAACAATTTGGAAAAACCCAAGTTTAGCCGCACGGCTATATTATTTCTTTTTAAAAAGAACCGGGAAATCCGACTTTTTAAAAAATTTGTAAAAACCCTTGTATCGCCACCCGGCTATACTATTTCTTTTAAATAAACTAAAAACCTGAGTATAGCCGCGCGGCTATAAAATTTCTTTAAAAGAAATTTGAAAAAACCGAGCATCGATCGCCACAGAATACTCGGTTATACGATTTCTTTAAAAAAATTGGAAAAAACCGGGTACAGCCGAGCGGCTATACTATTTCTTTTAAAAAAAAATTAAAAAAAGGCGTACCGCCGCTCGCCTATACTATTTCTTTTTTAAAAAAAATTAGGAAAACCCTCGAATAGCCACTCGGCTATACTCTTTAATAAATAAAAATTATGAAAAAAGGACCCTCCTAGTTGCATTAGTTTATACTTTATAGATATTAATCTTGGTATAGCCAGACCTTAACTCAAGCATACACCACAATTATTGGCATTGCTAAAACATACTAAACAATTCGACAACCAATATGTAACGTCAAAAGTACACAAGGAAGGACATATCAATATTTCTCTGAATCCATTAATTTTTTCTTGCAAAATTAAAAAATTTATTTTCTCCCAGCTGAAATACGAGAACTGAGTTATTGATACTACACCCATAACGCATCAATTTAGCATCTTGTATATGCAAACTTGCATATACTGCATAAACCAGATACAAGCGTATATTACGTATTCTAGTAGCCTAAACCTGCCAGCCCTTAAGTCAAGCATACAAAAAATCTTAGTAGCATAGTTAACAACATCTCGACTATACCCACCAGGAATAGTCACTTGCAAATAGTGAGTATAGCATTTTACCCCAAGAATAGTCACTTCCAAAAGGAAACATGTATTGCATTACATTTCAGATCACCTAAGCATAATACAAGACTTGGTTTAAGATTTTAAAGATTTTGAGACTACCTTACCATATCATCACTACGAGATACAAGCCTCGTGAGCTCTGTGCATGAAAAATCAAACTTTCCAAGCACATTTTTCATGTTCTTCATATTCCACGACACTGATGGAAAATTTAAGCATGAGCAACAAAAATTGAAGGTTGAGTAAATAAGTACACAAATTCAAATCACACACAAAAAATCAGAATGTGTAAGTAACATCACATACTTTCCAAGTACTTACAACCCAAACTGTTACTATTCCCTCATAATTAATCAGTACTAGCTATATGGTTTTTCATAAACTTGTTCCAGTTCAAGCAACTAGGCTTTGAACGTGTAGGCTTTCCCGTGTCGTCTGATCAAAATTCCTTTACAACTAGAAGTTTTGGTGCGTATATGTTATTTTTATTGTTTTGTTGATAAAATAGCAGGAAATGTTTCATGATAAAGATGGAACTGGAATAATCTTTGTTTATATACACCCTACTAGAAGATACACCCTAGAGAAGACAAGATGGATCTGTTTCAATTGAAGTCCAGTCCAGTGAGACTACTAGAAGATACACCCTAGAGAAGACAAGAATCCAATATTTTTAACACCAAGAGCAAAGAATCTGAAAAGACTTTCTCGCACTGGAATAATCTTTGTATATATGCTTTGTGGAGTTCATCACAAGTCAAGATGCTTACATATAGCGGCCACTAAAATATCAATAAAAATTAATTGATACACATGGATCCTTCCTTGTATAAGGCAGCAAGATCAGGTGACGTTGGTTTCTTGAGAAAAAATAAAGATGCTGACGTACCAGATGATCTTCTCCATCAGAAAAAGCCTATGGACAATAACATACTTCACATTGCCGCTGAGTTCAAGCACATAGATTTCTTCAAACAAATCGTCATTGTTTTGGACCACCAACAACAAGAGTGAAACTCCCCTCCACGTTGCTGCTAGAGTTGGTTGTGATGAAGGAGTTGAGTTCCTCATCAACCATGCGAAAAAACTACGCGTTGATGATGAGGAGAGTGAACCCACTACTTATCCAATGACACGAGGAGCAGTGCTTGATTGGGGTCGACGCTTCAAGATTATTCAGGGTGTTGCTAGAGGGCTTCCTTATCTCCACCATGATTCCTGTTTGAAGGTAATACACAGAGATTTGCGGGCTAAGCGGGAGCTAGGCGGGCTAGGCGGGGGCTAGGCAGTCGCTAGGTGGTCTAGGCGGGCTAGGCAGTCGCTAGGCGGTCTAGGCGGGAGCTAGGCGTTCTAGGCGGTCTAGGCGGACGCTAGCGCCTAGAGAAAAACAAACGCCATTTGGAATCTCCAAGGTCAGGGAACGATGGTGTTATGAGCGAGAGACAGAGAGATGAGGATTGAGGAAGAAGATAGGTCGCGGGTTATGTCTGAGAGAGGGGCTGGAAAACGACTCGTTCTTAGAGTTAGGGTTTGAGAAGGAAAATTGCATTTATATGTTGATGAAAAAAACAAAAAGAAGAGATGGGCTCCCGATTACTTCTCTAGGCATTAGACCCCTGCTTGCAGCCCGCCTACCACCTTGTTTCGAACATTGGGATTGACATGTTGGTAATGCTTATTTGACTTGAGATTAGATTTTTTTCATTACATTTATTCTATGAACTAAAGATTGACAAATAAAGGAGGTTAAAATACGGGTAAATTTAAAATATAGACAATCAAGATGCAGTAATAAGAGATATACAAACAAAACATTTAGAAGAAGTACAATATTTTAAAAAATTGAAAAAAAAAACCGACTGTAGCCGAGCGGCTATACTATTTCTTTAAAAAAAAAATAGAAAAACCGAGTATCGCTGAACGGCTATACTATTTAAATACATTATATTTTAAAAAAAATTGAAAATAACCGAGTATAGCAGCGCGGCTATACTATTCCTTTTATAAAAAAGGGGACATCCGAGTATTTCTTTTGTAAAAAAATTTGAAAAAACAGGGTATAGCCGTTCGGCTATACTATTTCTTTTATAAAAAAAATTTGGGGAAAACCGAGTATAGCCCGCCGGCTATACTATTTGTTTTTAAAAAAAATTGGAAAATAACCAAGTATAGAAA